AGTGAGGGATTTTTTTTTTTTTTTTTAAATAGCGAGCGAGTAATTTGTGGAGAACCACCCAGCTATGTGGTTAATTCATCCGTGAAGAACATTAGGAATCTTTATCTGTGTTTAGCAGCTGTCATTTACAAACTCTACATATACGTCTGACAACCCAACCGACTGCTGTAGTCCATCAAAGGCATAATTGTCATTATGGTATGGTCCTTGGGGGGTTTTATGCAATTTTTCTGGAAAAATGACAAATTAGTGAAGGTGTCAGTTTGTTAGGAGCATCTTAATTATGTGTAATTTCACTCAGCAATGCCAAAAGAAATATGAACAGCACTTTGAGAATCAATAATTCTTTGGAGGCCACGTATCATGCAAAGCTTGTCATTTATGGTATTCTTTACAGCAGAGAACAAAGGAAAATTAATTTTACAAGGAATACGATCTGTCTTAATGGCAGCTGCTGCTACCGTAACTTGGATGGAAAGTAAATCCCAATAATTTACTATAGTTCAGTTTAATTAGGAGGAAAAAAAATTCATCCGCTGAATTCCTTTTTAATTGGTATACGACTTCACAACATGATTTCTTGTTACCAAAGTCCTGAAGCATGACTGGGCTTTGTACCAGGAAATGAAAAGCAGCTGATAATCATAACAGGCTCTAAACAGAATAACAGAACTGACATTGGATAAGCTTGTTAGAATGATAATTTAATCTTTCTCTTTGTAAGATAAAAAAACAGGCAGCAGTAGATTTTGGGGTTACTTCATTTCAGGTTTATGTTTTTTAATCTAAACTCTTGATTTTTTTTTAAATTATTATTACTTCACATTCTGATGTTCCATTTATCAAGTTCACATTTTGATTTTTAACCAAATGATTCATTGGTGTATGTTTATTCCAGTAAAATATCATCAAATAAAGAAAATGTAACTTGCTATTCCTTTAAAAGAAATTTCCTTTTCTAGAAAATTGTTGCAGAGTTATAATGTTAGCCAATAGTTATGCATTGTTTTAGCAAACCTGGTCTGACAGAATTCTCATATGATATGTAATGCCCACTTTTCATAATCCATATTGCTAATTCTGGTGAATAAAATAAAATTCAGTCCTATATGTACAGTACACACACACTCACACCCATACAGTGTGTGTATAGTATGGGAGGATAAAATCAGTATGTACTTGAAAATCTAATTCAACACAAGTTCACTTTGTAAAATGACATTTTGGCTAAGTGACTAATTATTTTCTATGTATATAAGCATGGATGCAGGATGTGAACAAATGACTGCAGAAAGATTTATCTAAACTAAGATATAAATTATAGATGAACAATGAGGCCAAGTGGAAAACAGAAAAACAAAATGCAGTGTTATTCGTGTTTACAACGTTCTGACCTACTCTTTAAGACATGTTTTTTATGAGTATTATCATGTAGACTGCTTTTTACTTTTATCTTCAATTGGTGTTTTTTAATGTTGTTTATGTGGAGTTGTTTTGGCTGTATCTTGTTTTTCAATGTAAAATGACTTGTGAGAATGTTTAAAAGCATTTAAAAATCAGTATATAGACTTCTAAATCAAATTTTAATTCAACACACAAGACCCCTGACTCAGAAAGAAACTCAGTTTGATAAACAACATTCAACTGATTTAACAAACATAACTCAAATCACAGCCAGTTCACTAGTACACTATATGACTATCCTTCATGACCTGTGACTAGACTTTGGGAGTTGAACATGCTGTAAATATAGTCCTAAATGAGGTTTACAGACATTCATTAAATGCTAAAGAGCCATTCTGACATTTAAATAAAGATCTGGCAGCCAAGGACTATGATCTTGTATAACTGTCCTTATTATAATAAATTAAGATTAAAGACATCTTTTCTGTAAGTTAAAGCCATGTCCTGCATTGCACAAGCCTACTATAACTTTTTAACTGGTTAAAAGAAATCAACCTGACCCACAAAAGAAATTAGAACTGCTAAAATAAAAATTAGTTGGAAATGATGTGGTTACAAGATGTGGGGGATGGCATTTCATTTGTACTATTTCACAGAATAATTAGTGTTCACTTTGTTTATTCTAAACCTCTAGGCATTAAACTTCTGCACCATTTGTGGTACATGCGTGAATAAAACCCCAATTAGTGCAGAGAGGTGTGCCATTATTTTTCTAAGTGATCAGACTCATTATATTTTCCTGGTAGACAATAAAAAAAAATCCCACAAATTTGAATTGAGCCACATCTACAAGCAAATTGTCACAGAGATTTGCAGGTAGGCTAATTTGCCTCGGACCAGTAATCAACCACCTAGCAACAACCCAGAACACCCTAGCAACTGCATAGCAACACATTAAATCAATCAGATCTGCATAGCAATGCCCAGGCAATCAACCGCAACAACTAGTACCATGGCGGCAAGTTGTACATCCAAGCACCACTCACATTTTTATAAAAAGTAAAAATATAGATTACAGTTTGATCTTATAAATGATTCAAGAAAATATCTGAATCAACACAACTCATTTGCTATTATACAGGTGACAAGCACCACATTGTAAAACCAAAGGAGTCATTTAATTTGAGAATAGCTTAAAAAATACTTTTCATATAAGTTCATTAAAAAAATTTTTTCTAAATATTACAAAAGAAAACCATTTTAACATTTAAACCATTAAAAAACTAGAAACTTTATCAACCATATCACTGCCTTGGCATGTGCACAGTTATTGCTTTTCAAATAAAACAGTATGCTGCACATACTTAGTATCAAGAAACTCAGTTTGATAAACAACATTCAACTGATTTAACAAACATAACTCAAATCACAGCCAGTTCACTAGTACACTATATGACTATCCTTCATGACCTGTGACTAGACTTTGGGAGTTGAACATGCTGTAAATATAGTCCTAAATGAGGTTTACAGACATTCATTAAATGCTAAAGAGCCATTCTGACATTTAAATAAAGATCTGGCAGCCAAGGACTATGATCTTGTATAACTGTCCTTATTATAATAAATTAAGATTAAAGACATCTTTTCTGTAAGTTAAAGCCATGTCCTGCATTGCACAAGCCTACTATAACTTTTTAACTGGTTAAAAGAAATCAACCTGACCCACAAAAGAAATTAGAACTGCTAAAATAAAAATTAGTTGGAAATGATGTGGTTACAAGATGTGGGGGATGGCATTTCATTTGTACTATTTCACAGAATAATTAGTGTTCACTTTGTTTATTCTAAACCTCTAGGCATTAAACTTCTGCACCATTTGTGGTACATGCGTGAATAAAACCCCAATTAGTGCAGAGAGGTGTGCCATTATTTTTCTAAGTGATCAGACTCATTATATTTTCCTGGTAGACAATAAAAAAAAATCCCACAAATTTGAATTGAGCCACATCTACAAGCAAATTGTCACAGAGATTTGCAGGTAGGCTAATTTGCCTCGGACCAGTAATCAACCACCTAGCAACAACCCAGAACACCCTAGCAACTGCATAGCAACACATTAAATCAATCAGATCTGCATAGCAATGCCCAGGCAATCAACCGCAACAACTAGTACCATGGCGGCAAGTTGTACATCCAAGCACCACTCACATTTTTATAAAAAGTAAAAATATAGATTACAGTTTGACCTTATAAATGATTCAAGAAAATATCTGAATCAATACAACTCATTTGCTATTATACAGGTGACAAGCACCACATTGTAAAACCAAAGGAGTCATTTAATTTGAGAATAGCTTAAAAAATACTTTCATATAAGTTCATTAAAAAAAAAAATTCTAAATATTACAAAAGAAAACCATTTTAACATTTAAACCATTAAAAAACTAGAAACTTTATCAACCATATCACTACCTTGGCATGTGCACAGTTATTGCTTTTCAAATAAAACAGTATGCTGCAAATATAGTCTTAGTATCACATAGCTTTTGTCTATTAAGTGCAATGAACTTGCAGTAATATTTGAAATTGTTTCAAATGAACAATGTTTCACTGTTTTACAGTGCATACAATTCTTTGGTTGAAGTTAGTTTTTAATTTCAGTAAAATGGAGAAGGAAATGTCTTACGACTGTAGCACAAATTAAAGCTCTTCAATTTCCCAAAAAAAAAAATGTCTTCTGACACTTGAATGCCGTCAGATGCATTGCATTCATTGTCTCAAAGTATAAAAGATCTGCTTGTGTATGCCACACTCCAAGAACAAAAGGAAGAAATGCCCTCAGATCACAGTGAATATTTTAAGACTCCCCTCCCATTTGTGCTCAAGCTCTCTTCACAGAGATAGACATGTCCTACCTGTTTGCAGTGTTCGAGGCTGACTACTTCAAAAAGCTCCTAATGAAAATAGATTTCGGGAAGACAGTCTGTATTAGAAGCCTTCGCTTCGACTAATGGGGCTTCACAACTGCCAGTGGGATTATTCATTATCATTCCAATTTCTGAAAGCAATGCCTCGATGAGCACCTATCATACCAAGTGTGAGCTCTACAGGTGAACAAGGTAAAAATATTCAATTTCCCCCTGCTGCTGTGAATATGGGGCTGTGACTGAATGCATGTAGAGGCAGTGTTAATCAGAGCCATATGCTTCAGGTGTACCAGAGAGAGACACAAATCATGAAGTGGACTATAAATGAGGAGCATAATTCACTTATTTAAATTCCAATCATTTCCTCTCATCTGACATTAAAAGAGATCTTTAGTGGCATTTTCATTAGGATACTAAAATAACAGGATACAGCCCATTGTCTCCTGCTGCTTCCTTCTTTTTTCATCTTTATCAAAGAGAGTGAACACAAGCCGCTGGACGCCTTCCAAAGGAAGGATCACAGTGTACAGGAGAGGCCAGATCTATAATTGGGTAAAGGACCGACTGGTTGCTCTAATCCCCCTCCTGAATCATTAAGGAGAAAAGCACAATTGTGCAAGTAATTGATGGCTAGTTTCGGTCTGTTTTTCCCACATTTTCTAAGAACTGTGCATGGGGTTTCCTGAGAGTAGCATTGAACACAGTGCTGATAATCCTGCTGAAAAAGGCCAACATAGATGTTCAGACATAAGATGAGTTTTGGTTGCTTGTGTTCAGAGATTACATCAGTGAAATGTCTATTGTCAATAGTGTAGCAATGTATGAAGCACAGCTCACAGAAGTCACTTTCAAACCAAGAAGCTTTCAGTTGGTCAACATGGCATATTCATATGATCAACCTAAAATGAAATTTGTGTTGGGGAAAACTTTCACCAATCATGTAATTCTCTATTTAAATGACTGGTTTTGTCTGTAAAAATTCGCTGAACAATGGTAAATGTGACCACAAATTAGTACACTACAATTAAACAGTGTAGAAATTAATTACAATTATGGAAGACTTAAATCTCTAATGAAAAAAGTAAAACACAGCAATGACCTCCAAATACACCAAACAGTCCTTAACATGAATTGTTTGACTGGGGTGGCCCATGGCACTGAACATTTCAAGAGTGTTATGAAGGAAGTTGTAAGGAGTCATACGGACAACTCTGGCCAACAATTTTAACAATGGCATGTCAAGTTAACAGTTTTTGAACACATAAAAACACACCCCACTGCCTCAGACTGAAGTCACCATGTGCAGTGTTGATGAAAATAGTTGTGTGACAAATTACACTGCAAGGTAACGCTAAAAAGATCGAAGAAACCAAGGATAGCAATATTTTACAAAACAAACAAGAAAAAAAAAACTAAATGTATTCTGTACTGTAACTCCAAACTGCTGTTGAACAGATAATATGTCGAAAAGTTAGTTCACCCAAAAATGAATGTCATTCTAAATGTTTTACTATGTTCTGTGGAACTCAAAAGAAAAAAAATTTCAGTGGGAGTTTAAAGTTATTGTCCAAAAAACATTGTATCCCACTGACTTTCATTGTATGAACCAAAAAAAAGAAAGTTAAATATCTTGCGCAAATGTGCAAAATTGTACCTTTAGTGGTACAACAGCTTGCCACTGCATATTACCATTAAAGGGATAACTCTGTACTTCATCTACCCCTATAAGGTGCATATTAGTACCTTAAAGTAGTAAGATGTACCTCAAAGGAACCCAATTAACCTTTTGGGGTAAATAAGGTAGAAAGATGTCCCTTTATAAGGGTACTGTCTCAATGACAAGCTGTTTTTGAAAAAAAAATTCTGAGAGCACAGAGGAAAGTCAATCACAGGTTTGGAACAACATGAGTGAGTAAATGATGACAATTTTCCTTTTGGGGGAACTGTCCATTTAAGGTTGAGTATTTAAAATAAGTCATTAAATTTTAATATTTTTATATGTCCTGTGTGGTTGAGATTTTTTTCTTTTAAAGCAAAACTCAAAGTCCTAATCCTTACCCTTAGCGCAGTAAATTTCATTCAAATGCGATTTAAAATTATAGATCAACTGTACAATGTTCATATCCCATACTGTATAACACGCCAAATTAATTATTTGCTGTTGTTTATAATTGCATGCTAGTAAGCCTATTCAAATCATACTTATAATGAATTAAACTAATCCAGGAGGAACATGCTGTATTCAAATTAATTCAAGTAAAATCTCTTGACAATTTTTCTTTTGTCCTATTAATTTCCTCCTCACACTTGAGTAATTTCACATACATTTTACATGATACAGTCATTTTGAGGGGGGTGCATTATGTCACATACTATGTCCACCTCTATGCCACAGAGTAAAAACATGTGGCAAGCACAAGAGATGCTTCAGCAACTGCAAAATCTTTTAGAAAAATGTAAATTGTAAATATGATCATTTTCTAAGCCTGAAATTTTTTCCCTCACAGTGCAGATCCCTCCTGAGTTTAACTTCTGAATCATGACCCAGAAAGTAAGCCACCCCCGCCCCTCCAACCCTCCACCAAAGCAGCAAATCATTCCAGGAAGCTTCCACTGGAGGCCTATCTCTATCCTTTCCCTCAGCCCCACACATCCACATACATCTTAGAAAACATTTCACAATGTTTGAGTGATTTCTCCACTGAACATGGTAAAAACACACGCACAAACATGCTCAGAAATATCATTTTCTCCAAAGTCACATTTAAGAATGCAACTACTCTTGCTATTCTCTGGAATAATATGCTTATCAGACACAATCATGTGCTCTACTGAATAAGAGCAGAATAATTTTTATCTCTCTTCTAACAGTCAACCTCAAACAAAGAAAGCAATCAACTTAATGAAGAGAGATGCATATTCTCGCACAGCCAGACTTTTGAACATCGCCATAAAATAGGGTCCAGTTTGCAGCTAATTCTGGACAACAAGCATGAAATGTGACCAATCACAGTTGTTTCACATGCTGATTATGAACAGATTTATCTTAAATAGATCATGTAATTAAAACTAACTTAAAGGGATAGTTCACCCAAAATTGATTGAATTTTTTTTCATAATTTACTCACCCTCATGTTGTTCCAAACCTGTATGAATTTCTTTCTTCTTCTGCACACAAAATAAGATATTTTGAAGAATGTATGTTGCCAAACAGTTGCTGGTAGCCACTGACTTCCAAAGTATTTTCTTTTTTCCATACAATGGAAGTCAAATGATACCAGCAAATGTTTGGTTAAAATATTTTCTTTTGCCCTCAACCGAAAAGAGAAGTTCTTATAGGATTTGGACAACTTCAGGGTGAGTAAATGATGATAGAATTTTCGTTTTTTTATGTGAACTATCCCTTTAAAGTGTTATTCCGCACACACACACACACACACATTCAAATGTTTGGGGTCTGTAAGAATTTTTTTTCAATGCTCTTATGCTCATTAAGGTTGCATTTCTTTGATCACAAAACACCCATTACTCTAGTCTTTAGTGTTACATGATCCTTCAGAAATTATTCTATTATTCTACATACTGATTTGGTGCTCAAGTAATACTTCTCTTATCAATGTTGAAAGCAGATGTGCTGCTTAATATTTTTGAAGATACAGTGATCATTTTTTAAGGAGTCTTTGAATAGGAAGTTCAAAAGGACGGCATTTTATTTTATTTGAAATATAAAACTTTCTTTACATTATCCATGCCTTTGTCACTTAATTATTAAATGTAATGTGTCCATGCTAAATAAAAAAGTATTAATTTACAACTCAATTAACAAACTTAAAAACTAGGCAGAATACAGATACTTGATAGCAAGAACCTTAAACAAAACTCTTTAAAAAAAAAAAAAGTCTGGTGCTACTAACATGGAAAAAATTATCATATCATTAAGTCCTCAGAAACTCAACTGCATCGATCCACTACCTTGTAAACACAAGCTGGAATGGTATCTGATTTCTACCAGCTCTTGCCAATTTTGTGAGCAATATGCATCAGACGGTCAGCAAATGGACATTGGTCAGTCCGTGGGCCCGCCGTCTGAGGTTGAGACTGGAGACGGAGTAAATCAGTTGAAAGTCATAGAGGGAGAGAGACAGTGGGAGAAGGGCAGAGAAAGGTGAGTGCAATGAGAAGAGAACAAAAATTGGGGAGTAGATTTATGTTTCCACGGCTGCTCGAGTGCCAAGGAGCATTAGCTGAACTCATGAGCTGTAGACAGCTAATCTTTTGTTATGGGGAAATAAACACACAATGTTAGCCACCGTTTTACAGCCGCTGATCCAAGGCGGATGATAAAAGATCCAGTGGGCCCAGACCACACGGCTTAATGACCCTGAGAGCAACACACAATTTATAGGCTCTCGGTCCCCATCATCACTCCCTGCTACTAATTTATGTCGAGAAAGGGAGCTGGACTCATAAGAGAAAACAATTTTAGAGAATGACTAAAAACTGCTTTCATAACGGCAGTTCTCCAGCTAGAATCCCTTATACTTTTAGACTACGTCGTAGCCTAATATACAACAACAAGCTTGTCTTCATCGTTGTTTAGTTTGGTTGATTTATGAGACTCCGTCAAGAAGAAAAATCCCATGTAGCTGTGAACGGTTGCATCCTGTCATACAAATAAATTTGTTTGAGCACTGAATTAAAATGCATGTGATTATGCCATGAGAATGAGAGCCATTAAAACAATGAGTTTGATTAATTGCCGTAGTCCTAAAACTTTCAACAAATCAATGTGTGGTAAGAATCCACTGGGAGGCACCTAATTCTTCCCGTTGTAATTGGGTCCAGCTACAATATTACGCCCCTAAATTCCAAAATCCACAAAGCCGGAACCCAAAAAAAGCAACACCACCTCTTCTCTTCCACAGGAATTTTTTTTCATAATTTACTCACCCTCATGTTGTTCCAAACCTGTATGAATTTCTTTCTTCTTCTGCACACAAAATAAGATATTTTGAAGAATGTATGTTGCCAAACAGTTGCTGGTAGCCACTGACTTCCAAAGTATTTTCTTTTTTCCATACAATGGAAGTCAAATGATACCAGCAAATGTTTGGTTAAAATATTTTCTTTTGCCCTCAACCGAAAAGAGAAGTTCTTATAGGATTTGGACAACTT